ATATCATCTTTGACTTCTTATCGATTATGATTGTATTTCTTATATTATGCTAAATATACCTGTTCAATTCTTCAAAACTTCATCAATACATTAGTAATACATAGGATAAGGGATTTTATTTTATTATTAAATAGAAACTATGAAAGCAATAGGAAGCAAAAAAGAATAGCAGTTGCAGGATTATCTCATCAATGAGCAAAACAAAAGTTTATGTTATATTAAAACCATCGATGTGTAAGAATAGCGATAATACATATAGTAATGAAGAGAAGGAGTGGCTGGTTTCGGCCCATCGATATACCATTACAAAGATCCGATGTACAACAACATAGAGTAGCCGTAATACCTCCTTGAGTCGCTGTTCTACATCCATTTGGACCACCAACACATCCTGCAGTTTGTAATACTCCACGAACAACGATATCACCACTTCTCGCTTTCTGAAAGAAGACGTGAATGAAATAGATCAGTAATAGCATGAATATCAAAGTCATATTTCAAAGAAACGCACGTTGCACACTTGACCTTCGGGTGCTTCTATTATTTGGGCACCAGTCATACCCGATGCCATGAATGGGTCTCCACGATTTGGATTATCAGCAGCACTGCACATGTATATGATTTTTCAATTATTATGTTTCATTTGCTACTTTGCTTATAGTAATACCCATATGAAACTGTATATATTTTGTGAACTGTTTTAAACATTTATAGGTGCTAGCAGCACTGATCAGTCCTATTAAAATGGCAAAAAAAATCAATCGCTTGAAACATTTTTTGTATATAGGTTATTGACTATCACTTACCAAATATAAGCAGAATGCAAATGGATTTCATTCTTCAGTATTGGTTACAGAAAAAAAACTTGTTTTATGTGAACGAGAAATTTTTCTACTAAATGCAGAATGCAGGAGAAGTGCTGCCCTTATATATGTCATGATAATGATCTCTCTGTTGGGATATTTTATATTCTTCGTGTATATTTAGAAAATTTGTTGATGTTATTCATTGTCTACATGATATAGTCTTTACATATATATCACACGTAAATATTGAAACTCGAAACTCGAAACTCCAAATATGTAAATAGAAATTTAAACTTAGAACTTCAAGCTCAAAATTAATAAACCGAAGTTGAAACTTAAGAATTGAAATTTGATATTAGAAACTGACGTAGTAATTACGTAGTCAATGAAAGTTCATTTTCAAGTGTGATAATACATAGTATTTGCGTTGGCAGTATTCGAAATGTTTCAATAGATAACATCGCTGTCTACAAATGACAGGCGTCATAACTCGATTGCAAACAGAAGAGTTTTACTATTAAATATGAATATTGTGATTGCTTGACAAAGAGAGTGAATGAGCGAGGAATAAGAACACAAATCACATTTCTCTGATCCGATAGAGAATATTTTTTTCTTACATGAGCTCCAATATTGTGATCATTTATATACCGCAGGAATAAGACCATTCTTCGAATTAAACTATTCGAAAATGATGGCTAGTTGAATGGGATGGATAAAGGTGCTCATGAGGTTATCCATGGAGTCAGAGCCTATAGGGATCTCATGGGGATCCGATGAAGTGTTGTTCGAAATAACGATGAGGGGAAGTGTCACGCCGTGATGTTGCCTTAAATTGATCAATTTTGACTGATTCAACTCTCGACCTATCGTCTGAACCATGGTATGATGAGAATTCTTGGCTGATGGTCTAAATAAAATTCCAAGATTCATTGATGGACATGAAAATATAGACGGTAAGATTGGAAAAATTGTCTTATTTTTATCTTAGTCACACAGTGCGATTGTGTGATATTGATGCTCGACAGTATGTAATAATATTTTCGTATACAAAATATTACACCTTAAAATATTGTGTGAAAGAAATATGTTTAACAGATGAGTTTATTCATGATAAAGTTGAATTCATTAATCATTTTCTACTATCTTAATCTCTTAAATTGGTCACAGAAATGCAGAAAAAAAAAATACAACATCACTTTATATGAACAGTTTACATATAATTGTGCATATGATAATACTGAAGAATATGATGACGATAATGACTTCTTTGGAGAATTGCTCATGAAGTTGCTCACAATTACAAGTTCAACAGTTAAATGAAAAGAAAGAAAGCGATAATTCATTGCCCTGATGACATGAGAATAAATGAAAATTGCGCAGATAATTATTACTGAAAAGTTTTTTTTCCAATACCAGCAATATCTACTAGTGTTACGAGACATTTTTGTGATACTGGTTTATTTTATACCGAACGAAGAGATCGTTTAGATAGTAGTTGATTAGATAACGTACTTCTTATTCGTGGAATGAAATACGTAAATATCCATGAAGTAGAATAATATTATTGTAGTCTTCCTGAACACTGAAAAATACAAGTTTCTGTTTCCTACTGTACGTGCTTGCCTATACGAATACATTTTTTTTTCTACTAAATCTGTGGTATTGGATTCAAAATGATTAAAATAATTATGTTTGATATAATCAAATTTCTTGTTTCCATTACAAAATTGGATAAAGTTTTTATATGAGACTTTTTGTTGTAATCTTTTCTTCCTTTTTTGTCTTTACTATATATTTGTTCATTATGTCTATTGTTTATTTTGACGTTTGCGTGTACTTATACGTACTTAATTTTAAAAGGGTGAATTGAATTTCAAAGAACTCAATCTCTTTGTGGGCGAAGAAAACTGTTATACAGAAGGCTAATCAAAGGGCAGGGTATGGGTGTGGATTATTGATGAAGAGAAGATCAACAAACACACACACACGCCCAAACAAGTACATGTTCTATTGAGACACACATTATTCTTTGAACAAGTTGAATTTTCAACTGAACAAAATTTTGAAATGTCAATAGAATGTCTCAAATATTGATTCATTTTACAAGAAAAAAACAGAAACTATTGCTATGCGAGCTCAATATTTGTTGATATTTTGTGAACCAGTTCTGAATACAATATCTCGGAACGATTTTATTCGAAAACAATAATATGTACTATTAGAATATTTTATAAAATGACTAACACTCACTAATTAACTTAGCGCATATAAACACCAAATACAAATTTTATGCGTTCAAATACAGTTTTTATTATGAACTGTGTCTGAACGGGGTTGGAAAAATTCTTTAGATATATATATATACACGACATAAATAATATATTAATTTGTGCTTGTAGATAATCAATGATTTTTAATTAAATTGTTGAGTTATAAGTATTCAAGTTACGATCGCAATATTGAAAAAAAAATCTTTTCATATTAATCACGATTATAGAAGATTAAAAAACATACACCATTATATTTAAAAGTAGTGAATTTATCAGAGAAATATATTTGACAAATTTGGCAGACCATCTAGGATTTCTGCCGAATCTGCCATATAATCTTTAGTTCAATTAAGTCTAACAGATAATATATATCTAGCACATATTGCATACAGTCTATATCTTCGACGAGTCTTACAGATAAAATAGTGCTTGCATTGAATATAAAACCAAGCTTTAGTAAATCTTGCCTTTTGTAGCAACAAGCTGAGTTGTCTTTCTTTGAAACTGGGTTACAGTCGACTGAGATCTTTAAAATTAAATTTAAAAAGCGTTCCCTCAATGGCGAACTATTACAAGTGTAGCCACTTTTGGCAACAATAATATTGAGAAACATCTCTACATTGAGTATAAAAAGACTTTTTTTCCGCAGATATTAAAGAAAAGTATAATTCCTATCAATCTACGAAAAATTTTCTCTTCTTAATATAATCTATTTGATTCTGTACTACTGCTGACACTGCTTAGAACAACTCCTTACTTCTTGCACTACTCCCTCTTCTTTATTTACTTGTTAACTGTATTCGTGAAAAATTTTCGATATCGTTTGCGAAATAAATTTAGCTTCTCCTACTTTCAAAAACTATCAAGTGCTTTGTATCTGAATAGAAAAGGAAGAACTTAAAATAGCGAACTACTTAAACAGTTTATTGGTTCTATCAAGATCTACGCAATCAGCTGAACATAATATCATAAAAACTTTTTTAAGAAGATTATTTCAAAAACAGAATATATTTTCATTGAATTTTACAATATGAAAGAATAAGATTTAAGAAAAGATTCTTGTTTTTTTTTTCAAAAAAATTTTACATGAATCATTGTGATGTGTTCATTTTTTTAAATGAAAAGAAACAAAATATTAATTTTTAAAATCATACTAGACGTAAACAGAGAATCTTATGATGAAAACATAGAAATTAGTCGAATTAAATTGATAAATTCTATAATAAATAAGATTTTGTTTAATTTTGAAAAAAAAACGATAAATATTTTTAATCTGTGAAATATTTACAAATATTCTAAGGCGCTGGCTATCAAGAAAGAACTACGACCGTCAGAAATATAAAATTCTGCATGATATAACCGACTTCTGTAATAAAAGTGTGAAAATAGAGAAATAGATAAAAAGTTCAAGGAAAGTAGCTGATTTCTCAATTCTTGGTGACTGCTAATGATACGCAGTGATTGCCGTAGATTTTTCGAAGCCATTTCTCCATCGAAATGACTGATAATTGGAAAAACTAGTTCCTTTTAACAGAGGGTGGCTAGAGAGTGTAGGTGGGTGTAAGAGTGGATGTGGGGGTGGCTAAATTGATCATGCATACTCGTATCCACACCCACGCCCCCTTCATGAGCAGAAATCAAGTTCGAATGAGGGTGTGTGTGGAATATGAACTTGCGGTGTGCTGGTGTTAGTCTTCGTCTGAAGCGTGTGGGTGTGGATGGATGTGAGATTAGATCTTTTGTTCAATGACACCCACACTCCAAAAATAAGGCTCAAAGTTGTTTTTCAAAGTTGTAATTCTTGGACTAGCCGTCTGTTGATAGTTTTTAAGAATGATGGAAATTATTTACATTAGTAAATAAAGATCACTTTTCTAGAAAATAAAATTCTGCATTTTCATAAAAACAAGAAATTAGGTTGCTGCAATGATTTTTCACTGAGATATTAAAGAAACACGTAGAAGGACATTTATTCTGGCGCACTAGTTATAATCAAAGTGACATTTTACACATTCAGAAAAAAACACAAAATTAATTAAAATCATAAATACTGCAGTTGGCAAGCTCCATTTTCTTAGAAATGGAATATAGATTCAGGTAATTCCATTCTTTTTGCTATTTCATTTAGTCTTTTTCGATCCAACTTGCTAAGTTCAAGACTTTTAACTTGTGCCATTTTGTCTCTGCTTAATACAGTTCCAGCTTGAGAATCTCTATTCAATGCAGTTAGTGCTTCTGGAATTAGTGATTTTGAAATGCCACAAACATCAAAAACTGCGCCAATAGTTTCTTCTGGTTTTGATATTAAATTTTCATATGTTACTTTTGGAAGAGCATAACAATGCCTATTTTTCAGAAAACAGATGTAAGGAGCAGCGAAAATAATAAAAGCTCGTTCCAATAAACTTTCTGGTTTAACTTTTTCAACAGTACTTTTCTCTATTTCATATCCAAAAAGCCATTTTCCTAATTTAGGAAAATTTGATTGTAAG